CTGTCTTGTTAATAATGGCTTTCAGCCACATATTTCAGTGATTTGGAGCTTATGCCAGATTCAAATACTGATTACTTGCAGTCATCTAGGCATGTCTTATGTACACATATCTTAAATTTTGGAAGTCTTTCTTTATGTCTCCACAATGCACTACGTAAAAATTAACCTTTTTTTTTTTTTTTTTTCTCCAAGCAAAAGCTATGATTTTTCTGTCATTGATATTCATGAATTCCTGAAAAATACTTTGGACAATCTATTTCAGATTGTTGATTATTCTCTGTTTTGGCTGTCCATTGTTCATTAGCTTTCTATAAGACTCCGGGTTTATTTTGTATCTATTCCTGATTATATGTCAAACATTAACAGCGTAATGGCACTCAGGATATATATTTACACTGTGTATAAATGATCATCTCAACTAAAATTCTTAAAACATTCAGAAAGCATTAGTCACTATATAATTCTAGCCAACCATGTAACTCCATATGAGAGGCAGTAATCCTTCTTCTGGCAATCCACATACACCCTGAGGATAAGATTCAATTACCCTTGTCTTCACAAAAAACACCTCTCCACTTTTTGGTTTTAAACACTGCAGAAAAAGTTTATTGATGACAAATTAAACTGATATTAGCCTAGAAAAGAACTCTTAAATTCTAGAAGTGTCATGTTAAATACAAGCAGAAATAGAAGTGACTAATACACAGGGAGCATTATAGTAGTTCCGACTCTTCTCTTTAAAAGAAAGAAGTAATAATGCAGAAAAAAAATCTAAAAACTTATTTTTTTTTCCCAGAAAAATTGCAGATGGGGAAGGAAACTACGATTATATCATTTCTTTGAGGAGTTGCTTCTCCTTAACCCCAGATCAAGAACTTTTCTTTAATCTCATAACCAGTCTTTCATCATACTGCAAGAGAACCTAAAACCAGCTAATTAAAGTAAGTTATGCCATAGCTTAAAAGACCTATAAAGTGTCTGGATTTTCTTTTGTTCTTGAGATAACCAATAATAAAACATACGGTTTGTGTAACAGTAATAACATCCTCCTTTAAAGTACTTCAGTCTTTTTAGAAAAAAAAAAAAAAAAAGCAATTTAATAACATCCAGACAACACTGCAGTCAAGACATTCAATTTTCTCTACTAATGTTCCATGTTGCCAACATCAGTAGGTTCCTAAGCTACAGAGACTTGGTTAAAAAACTGCAGAATGCTTTGTAGCAGTGAGAAGAGCAGACAAAAAAAAAAAAATAAAATGTTGCAGTGCCAAAATACAGCTGCCCATCTTGTTGATGGGAAAAAACAGGCTACACGTTGATTTCATGTTTGTCTTTAGGATTGTTTTAAGTTAAAGCAAACGAATATAGGTTGTGTTTTCATCTTCCTTTTTTTGGAGGGTAAGGAAAGCATTTTTTCCCATCCTCTGGCAGAATCTAAATGTTTGGGGAATTTTATGCATAGCAAAAACTCAGATTCATTTCATATACAGCAGTTGAAGCCAATAGATTTGTTGGTCTTCTTTAAAATCACTAAACATATTTTTAGTTAAAATATAAAATAAAAATGTAATGTGAATTGAAATAAAGATCTTCAGTGACCACATGACAAGTAGGCAACAGTAATGACTTTTAAGTATTATAAGAGAACATAATTGTGTATAACTAAATGCACAATAAACATTAATCCTATGAAAGTATACATTAAAGCCTCACAATTACAACCTGCAAATGCAGCATATTATGAAATCAAATCTAAATCCAGCTAATTTTGAGGTTCTAATATCACTAAGGTTTTTAAGGCATTTCTCATACTAATACAAAAGGATTTATTAGATTGTAATAATAGCAAGACTGTTTTTAGTAAGCTGTGATATTGCAAAGGAAAACAATGTCAAAATATGTTAAATATTATTTAAGTAGTTTCTTTCAATACCACATTTATTTATGTTCAGTTGGTAAGATTTGATAATATCTCTGATTTCATCATAACGTGCTAGAGCATTTCATCAAGATTTGCTTGATTAATCTTTCTGGAATTTTCCAATACAACGGAATTAGGATTGAGTTGTTTAAGAAAAGACAATTACTATGTACTTTCTGGGATCAAACCTGAAGGGACAGTATCTTCTCTTGTCTCCCTCCCTGCCCCCTTCCTCTCAAAAAAAAAGAAAAAAAAAAAAAAAAACACACCTCCTTTCATGCTTAGAATACAGTACCTACTGAAATATATACATAATTAGACTAGTATGGGGGAGATAGAGGCTCACAAAATGAAGAATGAAAATGTTTCTTCTTTCCAGGAAACAGTCCCATAGATAATTCTGAATAGCCATTCAATAACATAATTCTTTAGCTCTTACACAAATTCAGGCTGATAACTCAAAATAAGAACAATCACTTAAATTAGGCTACTTTTGGAATTTATGTGGAGCCACTTTATTCAAACTATTACAACACAATTTTTATTTAATATATTATCACTAATACATTATCAAAAAAGAAGCTGCTTTTTATTGGTTGTCAGACAGGATACATCTGCAACGACATGCAATGACTTTTGGAAAGATGTGTCTTGGAAAAGAACAAAATATTAATTTCTATTTATGTGGTGACTATGTTTTCACTTCCCACTTTTAGAGATTGCCACTGACAAACTGGCAAAACCTTCACATCTATATGAAGAATTTTGTTTATAGAATTTGTTCATTTCTATAAGAGAAGACATTTCTCCTGCAACTAGTGACGACTTATTTAATATTATCTAAGATTAGATAACTGAAATGGGTACTTTGCTGACAGGGTAATTGAGGTACACAGAAACTTAAGAACTTAACTGAATTAGAGCTATTACTCTGTCCATCACTGTCCACCAGAGTATCAAAGTGACAGGAAAAACATAAATGATAAGAATGATGGCAAAGTAAGGTAGAATGGAGAACAAAATTGCTGAAGAGAAAAAGCCGTAAGCATTTCAGGGGTATGCTTTATAAATATTTGAAATGGCTTTGGAGAGAATGTCATATAAAAATGGTGCACTGCAAAAACAGAGGATTGTGAAGTGCACTGCATGGATAATTTTTAGGCACACTATCATTAAGAATGTTTATGATACTGCATTGTCAAAAATTCTTCCTTTCTAAAACAACAAAGCCAACAAAGACTGAAAACCAATGCATTTAAGCATGCACACAGGAATATTTTAGCCTGAAATACTTAAGTATGAAAGACGTAAAAGATAATAAATTGATTTGAATTTTTTTTTGCATTTCCTAATATACAGTTTTGAAAACTGCATAATATATTAAATATTTTATAAGAATTGCATAGAATAACATATATGAAGTAAAAGCTGCTCCCTAAACATGTCCTTGCTAAACAAGGTAGAATCCTTCATGCTAGGTCTCCACAGATGAAAGAATCTCTAGCAAGTTCTTTGTCCTACTGCTCATTGCAATAGTTATGCTAATTATTATCTCAGATACAGCCTTTTTTTATCAGGCAGTTATATGTTACGTCTTTCTTCTAAGTAAATGTGAGCAACTCCTTAATCAGGTGGATGAGTTTGTACAAATGCCTGGTAGTAACAGTCTTACAGCTCTTAAATCCTACTTTGAACTGTCCTTTGTATTCACATTTCTTTCTGAATGTTTTTTGAGATAAACAAGATAACTATAACCTGAACATGAAAGTATTTTAATACCTGCTTATTGAGACACAAATGTTTATAGACAACATAGGCAAACTTTTCTCCATTTTTTGTTTTGTTTTGAGTAGTTTACAGATTTTTGCATATACAAATTATATTTATACATAATTTCCTATAGCAGTGGTCTGAGAAGTGTTAATTTAGTATTTTTTGAATACTAAAACAGATGGAAAACAAGCCACAGTCCAAGTATGTCACTGATATTACCAAATAATTCTGGAAACACCTAACAAATATATATTATAAAGCCCTAAGTTTCCAAAAGCCTAATTACTCAACAACAACAATAAAATCAATTAAAGCTGTACCCCCTGAAGAATAACACATTTTGAAGAGTAAACATAGAATAAGAAAGAATAATAAGCAAGACTAAAAAACTAGTACTTTTTCCCACTGAAATCTCACATGGCACACATTACTTGCTCAAACTGCACTTAGAACAGCATTATTACTCCTTCCACAGGCATATAACATGGCACCATCTCAAGCTAAAACAAACAAACAAAAAAACATAAATAATCCAAAAATTATTTTATCAGAAGATATTAAAGCATAAATAGAAATTATTTCACTTTCAAACAAAAGGACCACTGGAGATTTATCATCAGGAAAATTCAAGGCATTTTTGCATTGCTATACAATATCTACGTTTCACAACAAGGTAATTAAATTCTGTGCAAAATTCTTTATACAAATTGATAGAATCAAATATAGCTTTAATAAAACTTCACCAACTGCCTCACCCTATCAGAGTTAAAAATGCTTAGTTCTACATCTGCTCCTTCTCCAGTCATGGTAAACTATTCACAATCCACAATAGAGTACAAACCCCTCTCTAGCTTCAAAAAGCACTGAATTATTAATTAATATTTTCAGATAAAGAAGAAAAAGGTTTTTATTTTTAATGATGTCCCACATGGGAAGCATTATATAATGGTCAAAAATATACCCTGGAGATAAATACTTATCCATGTATATTATAGATCCTTAATGTCTTATTATCCTAAGTTCAGTACTACAGTAAAAGGCCACCTCTGTCCTCAAGCAACATCATGTATCACATTATTTTTAGTCATTAGTGAAACATCCAGTTATCAAAAAATATTTTTAGATCATTAGAAAGATTGTAACTATAGATGTATCACATTATTTTTAGTCATTAGTGAAACATCCAGTTATCAAAAAATATTTTTAGATCATTAGAAAGATTGTAACTGATTTTTAGTACACATAGACTTTATATTGCACAAGAAGCTTTGGGTTTTCCTTTAAAAAATGGTGGTATCGTACTTACTTTTCTGTCTGGCCAATTATATTTCGCAAAAATGGTATCATATGTGTCCACAGCTCCATCAGTAATCAACATTATGGCTTGGCTGCAAATACTTCCTTGTCCTGTGTGGTTGAACTGTGAAAGGAAACATTAATTTTGGTACAACATTCCTACTAGCTGAAAGTATATAGCATCCCACTGGATAAACACAGATACTGTCAAATCTCTAGCATGCTGAGAAAGAGGTGGAAAACTCTCAGGTTGAAAGCATTTTATTATAGATACATTCAAACTGAATTATAACTTGAATTGTGTAACAGATCAAGGATTTATTATCTATGCCCATTTTATCAGCTTTTAAAATACATTAAAACATAGATAAATATAGTACCTCCTCAAATTAAAAGTCTAAGTAGAAAAGAAAGGAAACTGTACTTTTTCCATTTTAGATAAATGATATGTACTGATTCATACACATATGGTCTGTTCTGATATAATTTTAAAAGTACAATCTACAAAAAATGAAGTAGCAATGAATGATTGATATTTTTACTGTGAATTACAGAGGATACACCAGTTAGAGACATAAAACTATTCATATGGCATTTGTATTCACTCATGATTGCATTCCATACATTATTTTTCATAAAATGTTATTCTGAGAGGACCAAGCCTCCCATATTCTGCAAAATGAATTAAAGTTGCTGAAGAACGGTACTAGAGCACAGGTACTTAGACAAAAATCAACATATCTGGAGAATGCAAGGAATGTTTCATCACTGCACTGAGAGGATTTTCTCCTGGTCAAAGAGCCAGTCATAGTTGGGCTGAGCTATAACATAAGTTTTGATCTCTTGATTCTGTAGTTGGCAACAGAATATGAGTAGTAGTCTAAATCTATTTTTCTCTAATATATTCTTATTCCAGAATAGGTTCTTATTTGTTATTTTACATATATTTAAGGAACCTGGTTGAAACATCTAGCATTAGCAACAAAATGGAAAAGTTTACAATTTATTTCCAAGTCATTACCTCTTGTCCTCCCTGACTGGTGGAGGTCTGAAGGACCAGAGACAAGGCTGTTCCTGATAAAGCCCTTCTCTAGTCTTCATATGGACAACACACTTTGAAAGAAGCAAGTTATAGTAAAAGGGAAATTAATTAAGAGTGAGTGCCTTCACATATTTAGTATAAAACATTAATCTGTATGCATCCGTACTATTCTACATGGTTATCTGTTTGAATATTTTGAAGAATGAGATTAAATTTGAATGCTTTGATGAGTAATATCTTCTCATATTTGTCCAGATCTTTAATTTTATTGAATAGCAAGAGTGATGAAAGTGTTTTCCATAATAATAACAATGACAAGGGACTTATGATGAACTACAATTAACTCAATGATTCATCAGTTAGCAGCAAAAATTTCAATGCATCCTGACATTTAGAGCATTTGGTTGTGATTAACAGTCTTTGAAATGTCACAAAATTTTATTTAATTGGCTATGATTTCTTTTTTTTTTTTTTTTTTTAAAGGTAATCACTGCAAAGACCACATTTGTCACCAAAAGAGATAATTGCAGTCATCATGTGACATAGTTGGTGGCTAAGTACTGTACCAAGCACTTCTATGTTCTTACAGCAACTAATGAATACTGCATAAATCAACGGTTGAAAAGAATGTGAAAGTGGATTTTAAACATGCTTTTCAAAGAACAGTATCAACATCCTCAGGTCTTAACAACCTAGGCAAATAGCAAATTTGAAATGCAGGTAATAGCAAGACAAAATTATCTGAGTTTAATTACTGTAACCCCTGATCCATTCTAAAAACCCAGCTAGAATCTTAACATGACTATCTAAGAGAAAGCTTTTTTATTTTTCCTTTACTTTTTCTTCCTCCACTATCTATGATAAAGCTTTTTATTTTTCACCCTTTTCTTCCTCCATACATGCACCTTCCCCCACCTGCATTGCATTTTTTATTTATTTCTTTTAAATGTACACTAGAAATCTTTAACTAAACTGTAATTCACAAGAACCAATTTCTGGCGCATAAAGGTCACACGCTGTACACACAGTAGAAAATGGTTAGCTGTATTGTTTTAAGGATAGCTTTTATTTCTGGCCTAGGCTGAATAATAGAAACTCTCAGAGACTTTTTGATATGCCTGTATATAATAAACAAATATTTTTATGCTGTGTATTCTGGAAGTATACATGCAAGAATGCTTGAACTTATATCCCTTATTATCGTCTAAATTGGAACAGTCATTTTCCCAACTTTAAGAGATCTGAGCATACATGTAAGCATGATCCATCATGTTTTATTGGATATGAAGTGTGAATCTCTGTCAAGAACAAGCTGTTGTTAGAAATATAGAGGATTACTTGGACATGTCCATCACTAGTATTAACATTACACAATATTAACTAACACCAGCTGGACTGTCACCATGATAACCATCTCAGAAGAGATTAGTCTCTATCTGTAGTCCAACAAGAATGCCTAAATATGCATGGAACTACATTCTCATCATAACTGATCATCTAGAAAACATAGTCCATACATTTCAATCCAGTAATTTGGCATCAAATAACTGTTTTGTGTTTGAACTACATTGCAATTTCCCACTCCCACCCCCTCACACACACCCTCACTGGAAAAACTTTTAAAAGCCTTTCAATAATCTTCATTGAAAAACTATAAGCAATATATCTTGTAAAGACTATCTCAATGGTTACTCTTAACCATTAAAAGTCCAAGTGATTTTTGTTTTCATTCATCTACCAGCCATTTCAAATAAAGGAAAAGCTTTTGGAGAAATGCCAACGCATTTTCATTTGTATCTTAATTTGCTAATAGTAAATTTAAAAGAAAGCTACTCTACTATGCTAATGATGCAAGCAAGCTTGTAGCATCCAGGCACATAGCAGGAGCTGTTCCTGTTGGAAAAGTTTAGTAGATTTGACTCATTAATGCAGTTGAGAGGTTATCAACAAAATGAAAAGAACAAGGATTTGCCTTTCTATTAAAAAGAACAAACCTTGGGTAAGATGGAGCATTCTAAATGAATCAACAGAAAGCAATTTTCATTATCTTGCTTACTGGGAATTGTATGTAGAATCATTTAAAGGAACTTTACAGCTAATATTCCAGCTCTTGGAATGGGAAAGTCCTGGGATAATAGTTTAAGATTTCGTTAGGACTCATTGATCACTGATTGCTAGTATTTCACCTTGGGAATCTTGGCACTTAGACATTAATAAAAGTAATGTACTTTTTGAACCATTTCTCCTTTTTTCCTTAGTCTTGAGGCTAACCGGAATACCTCACAGTTTCCTCCTTAGAATTTTCTCTGGCCTTTGACATATTTGGAATTTACAATGGCATTTGCTACATATGTCTTGCTTAACAAGCTTTGCTGCAGCTTTGTGATATAGCAGTTTACAGGTTTACTAGTGCTTATTAATTTAGAGAACCTGGAGAAGAGAGCTGCTTGTAATTAGTTATTAAAAAAAAAAAAAAAAAAGTGAACTCTGTTTCCTTTACAACAACCTTAAATCTAAACTGATATTAACAGAAGTTGTTAACAGTGGACTTAGTCCTACCACACTACCTAGGCTTTTCATTCATAATATCATGAGAAATATTTGATATGGGCATTTTATTTTCATTGTTTTTCCACTTCGTACTGACCCTCTTTCATTACTGCTACTGTTCACGTTTTTATTCTTTTTTCTTGCTCTTTCCAAAATTCTCAGGAAGATATATAGTCGAATGAATCAAAATATTGCTAAAATCATTTTCTACTGGAATATGAAGCAATACAATATATTTTACATTTGCCAGAAATGACAAAAAATATCTCTGAAATATGTTACCAAAAAAAAAAAACAAACTCATGATAATCAGTAAGACTCATGTATACCTTGTAATAAATGAAAATCATTTCAGGCAAATACACTAGGTCAGATTTTTTTTCCCAGTACAATTTGCTTGACAACTAAGAATGTTACAATGATACGGCATTTGGGTGAGAAACTAGAAGCCCTACACTAGATTATCTCCACGATCATGATGTTTATCTTCCACTGACTGCATTTGTGTTCAAAGACATTATTAACAAGGATGTTATCAGAAATCAAAAGTTGACCTCATCCTTTTGGTAGATAAATAGTTAAAATAATTTTAATACCTCTGAGCTGATGAGGCTAACCTTTCCAATTTCTTCCTCTTAAAGTATTAGAAAACAAATACACAACCTGTTCAAATAGCTTCATTTATATAAGCTATGAGATGTTAATCGTGTCTGAAGTCAAACCAATGAGCAGTTTTTGATCCTAGCATTTATTCTCAAAATGCTTATGAAATACACAAATTCCTGTAATACCTAAAATGTTAGCCCTTCCAAAGTGGGGGAAAAAAAAAAAAAAAAAAAAAAAAGAATGATTTAAACTGTGAAATTTGCATGTTACCCTGATGTTTTAACACCTACAGTAGCTACTGAAATCAACTATGTTTAACATACCACAGGCATGTATATGTGCATAGTGTGTATACAAAACAAAACTTATAAATATAAAATGCTAGTAAATATAAAAATGTCAGCTTGATCTTTCACCAGATATAGGTTTATAGACAGTCCTTGCTCTATGGACAATATTTTACTCTCACTACAGTTTTGGAGTGAGTTCTAATTTATCTTAAAATTGACAGTAATTGCTAAAGAGCAGGAAAAGTGTCAACAGTGAAACTCTGAAAAGCATTAACTTACTTCATTGAGCGTGTTGAAAGCTTCATTTAAAGCAATGTCCAGCATTCCTATTCCTTTTGCAAAAAGCTTGTCAAGGTGTTCCCTGAAATGCTGAAACAAACAGGAATGTTTTGTCAGATTGTTGTTACAACACATTTATTGATATCAATGATTAATGATTCCTCCTTGAGACCTATTTCTTCAGTTTAAATGACAGCATATTACATTCATAAAACACAGTAATTTCTGGTCAATCCTTTTGACTCTTGAAGTCACACTAAACTAAGGACACATTAAAAAATAATAATGAAAATATGTTATAAGATTTGTTTTGGTTTTGGCTAGTTATGACTCAAGCTCTTTTCATTTGCTTTTGTCTATTTAGGGACATAACTACATATACTAATTTTTACATTACTTCTAATTTTTCAACTTCCCATTTTCAGGAAATATTACTTAATAAAAATAATTCATCCTGAAATTTATCCTTGAGATCCTGTTTTGTGTTATGATCTCTCTCCAAAAGATGATAGACCCCACTTCAGTTTAAGTGCAGTTTATCAATGTCAGAATAATATTTAGATTGTTAAAAACTCACCTATGCAAGAAGACAGGGCTTGCTAGACATATGTGATTATCTTCAGTTTTATGTTGTAGTAAGCCTAACTTTTGCAGTTTTAAATTACTCATCAATTATGCATTTCCATACTTGCTGTTTGTGACAATTGGCAAAATTTTATAGCAAGCAATTCTTAGAGGCTTATATGCCAGCATTCATCCTATATTTCCGTATATTTCTAATCATATGCTATTTCCCCAGATAGGTCAGAAGGTTGAACAACTTCATACAACTTGAATAACAACTTAACACTTAGCCAAAATATAGGACTTCTCTAAATTGTGTAAAACATGTATATTAAATTGTAACTTTTAGAGAATGTAAGCTAAACACATTTTCAGAACAATGGCAACACTTCTTTTTGAAAATAAGATGTTTAGAGGAAAAGGAGTCCTTTAGGTTTATAAGGAGCAGTACATCATTAAATACAGTATCATGAACCATGCTGCCATAAAAGTACACTCAATGAAATATCAACAATATGTCAGTCCCCTGATTTTATCTGATGAAAACATATCTTTTTATTTTATAATGAAATAAAATGCTTTATAATGTTTTATAATAAAATTAAAAGATATTACGGCTGTGGTAGATTCCTTCCTATTTCATTATTGAATTTCAGGAAGTTGAAAGAGGAAAATTTACAGCCTACCTCTAGGCAATTTTGAAGCATACACTATGGTCACAGTTAAAAAAAAAAAAAAAAAAAAAAAAAAAAAGCTGCTTTTTCAAAACAATTAGTTCATTAATTCATAGTGACCTAGTAAATGTACTTTATTGCAGCTCAATGCTTTGAACAGCCAAAAAGCTCAGTCTTGCTTGCCTAATTAAGAAGGGATAAAATAAACCCCTACACGGTTAAATGCCAAAATGATTTTTTCCCCCCTATTTAAACATAGCTAACTTCAGTAATTCTATTCATTATCAGCACAGTACTAGAGACTGCAAATTTAAATATAATTTATAAATATAACAATTTGGAATAAGAAAATAAAGACATGCAGTTGGAAGTACCATGGTGGGAAGCAATGCTTTTGTGAAGCATTATTATTCAGTCTCCACAATTGGATAAAAAAGCTCAATAGAATAGTAAAAAATAAATTTTTCTATTGGTCAGTTGAGTAGTCTTAAAGCATTATAATATCTGATAAAAGAAAATCAAAATAATTATATTTGCTTAAGAATTAAAATGCTGTCTATTAAATTATGCCCTATGTTGTGTTTTTTTTTTTTTTTTTAAAAAAAAAAAAAAAAAAAAAAGAATATAAAATACCCAAATATTCAATGAGTACACTGACCTCTTGTTATCTTGTTATCCTATAGCCCATTTGTCATTTCAAATTATCCCTGAAATTTAGGTACAAGCTGATCACAAGCCACATGGGCATATTCTTGACTTGAACTAACATGGCCTGGAAATTGAGGTTGGCAATGCAAAGACAGCAGTTTCGCAGACAGGGGCTCCATCAGCTGTCAGTGGCACAAAGCAGCATGCTTTAAGTAGCTATTTCAAAACACAGCTGGTCTGCAGTCAGATTAAAAGACCACTGACTTCAATGCATGTGGCCATCAAGCTGTATACAAACAAGACTGTTTCAATCATTAAAGCTTTTAAGAAACTCGGAAAATACACCTTTTTAAAAACAAATAAATAAATAAATTTAAGCTTACATTGATTAGAAATTGTTCATTGGAATTCTTCAGAAACTGAAATATATCATGTTTAGAAAATTCTCCAGGAGACATCTTAGCAAAATGAGTTTTACATATAGATGACATTTTTTAAATCAGACAGTGTAGATTACTGTTAAACATCAAAAACAAGCAGTTCACTACTGTTTCATTGATGCCAAAACCAATTTCAAAACATCAAAGTTATGTATTGACCAGAAGCTTTCAAGCTGTGGGAGCAGCCCTATGCCTACAGTCTGCCTCCTTGTCACATGGGACTGAGGTCAGTTTACAGGCATCACAGATGCTTCTACTAACACAGTTAATTCACCCCAAAACAGAGTTCTCTGAAAATTGATAAAGCCAAAGTTAGTAGTAGAAATACCTTTTCTTAAATCAGGTATGTTAAAATAAATAACTATTACAAATCATATTTCTGTTAGTAATTTTACTGTTTCATAATTAAACTAGAATTATTTTGCTACTAAAACACAGTTGTTTATATAATCTCTGAGCATTTCATGAATGAGCACTGTAGAAAGTTTATGACAAAGCATCTACATTATCGAGTATGAACATACAGCATAAACAGATTACTAAAAATTACTAATAAACACTATAATGTCTAGTGTATAATTCAGTTCACACGATCTGTCAGAAGAATTAAATATTTTCTCTTGCCATAGTGTGCTCTCTCTCTCTGTATATAAAAACACACTTTCTGAAAAACACTTTTTGAAATATAATAGTGACATGTTTGATATAACAAATGCTACAAATGTTAAAAATCAATTTAATGCACTGTGATTTTTAACAAATCATTGTTTTCTGCCTCCAGGCTTCTGAGTGAACAGATGCTACAGAAGGTGATTCTGCAAAAGGACTAAAATGAGTCTCTGTGTTTTTACTGACTTCATTCTCTATCCTTGAAGTGTTTTCCATCTTCTCTTAGTTGTTTGAAAGTTTCAACACTCTGCATGACTGCTAGAAAAAAAATCACACAACATGCCACTTAACATTCATTTCCCTTTTATCACACCAGATGCCCCAGGTGTGTGGCATTAGCTGGATCTGTGTGAAAAGAAGTCATGTTTCCTTTTACAGGCACCACAAGTAACAGCATCCTCAGATAGTCCACTCTATACTTAGCTGAAGTTTTTATTAGTAAACAATCAAAAATTACTAGTGCACTCCTGCCAGTTGTGCTATAGTGCCCGTTTTGTTATTAGAAAAGACAAGGCATTTTTAAAGGATTGTATCCTTGATATGAGGATTACAAAGCTTCAACCTAGTGTGCCTAGTAAAATTAATCAACAACTTGCCCACACAACATCTGCACCTGCCATCTAATAATTTGGTTCCTTATAAATGCACTGTAAGACAGAAAGACATATTTAAACCGTCTGCTACTGAAAAAAATGTCAGGACAGGACTTTAACTGCCGAATCATCAGTTTAAAGAAGAAGAATAGATGATTTTGGAATGAGGTAACAAACACCTCAATTTTACTGTCAATAACTTTCATAAATCAAACAAAGCATAAAATGGAAATCCATTTTGTAGCAATTCAAAAAGACATTATATCATCTTCTAATTTCATCTTTACATTTTCAATAGCTCTTTTAGTAACTAACTGCATAAGCAATAACACTGGTCCACCTTAGCTTCACTTTACTGTCATATTGGAGCCCTTTTAGATTAGTACCTGAATTACCTGGTGTTTGAATTGAATATCTGGTACAACAGTGTGCACAAACATTCACATGCAACTGGATGCCTGATTTCCATGAGCAATTACCATAACATGCAATATATAATTGTGGACTCGAATACCTAATTGACATGCATAATCTTGGTAATTCTGAATGCAAATTAGGCACACAATTATGACAATCAGACCCTGATGTCTGATTACAAAATTATAGGGCTCAACACAGGAGAAGTCATGTCTTACTACAATGAAGAAGCTTGGATGTGTTCAGCTGTGGAGGTATCTACAATCTGTTTAGACATGGCTGCAAAATGTAACTTGAAGAGAGTGAAGAGACAAATGCACTCGTGTGTCAGCCAGGACAAGATCCTTGCATGCTTCTGTGGAGGGTTCAGCCAGGAACATCAGTGATGTGTACACTTGGTCTTGTCTTTTGCATGCTGCCCATTTTGTCTGCTCCTCAGTTGTTTATAAACACTGTCTACTGTCAAAACCAGGAAATCCCAGAGATCTTAACAATGAATAATAATCCATATGTACAACACGCAAAGGTTTTCTCTCCTTTTCTTTCTAAATTTTGTAAACTTTGTTTTACATGGTCATCTACGTCAGAAACAAATCAAAAGATAGATTTGCTAGACCTTGAATCAGGAAATGAGTTCTTTTCTTAGTTATAGTTACAAATATATCTGTTTGATGAAATATGGGAGTATATTGAACAGCATATACTGTGGGTTGTTGGGTTTTTGTGTGTGTGTGTGATTTTTTTTAATCTTTAGTCTTCCAAAACCAAATCTTACAGGCTGTTCTACTCGCTTCACAAGGTTTACTTATAAAAGCTGACTTATATCTATAGTCACAACAAGATGACAAAATATCACTTCCTGAAAGTAAACAGTACCTCGATATACTAATAAAGCAGAAGGCTCTGCTACAATCAGGGAATTTTTTGCCCTTCTTTATGGTTATATCAGGATACTCCACAATCTTCAAGCTTTTATCACTCTTAAGAAGAAAAAGAAAGAAAACAAAAAGTATTTCCCTCTTCACTTGACAGCTGAGGAAACAAACACGTCTGAAAACCAATAACAAGACACTGAAGCAGAGAAC